TCCATCTCTTTGGCCTCGTCTGCACCTTTCCTGGTTTTCTGTGGAGGAAAGGAGGGGTTAGCGCTGCTTATCGTGCTAACAGACATAGCTGCAGTAGTGCTATCCTTACTACAAAATCTCGAGTGCCTTTGATAGACTTTCAGATGATGAGGAGAAAAATAATAACAATGAGAAAAAATAAAAATACAATAATAATGCAGTAAAGAAATCAATAATGATGATCAAACAATTATAATGCCAATAGTACTGACAATATCAATAATAACAAACAATGAAAAAATAAAAATAATAATACATAGTATTACAATAACAACAGCAGTAATGACAATAATTCAATTAGTAGTAATAAAAAATAATAATACCTTTTACAATACTAATAATCATAATTGCAACAATGAAAAACAAAAAATATCAAAATTGAAAATTAAAATACAATCTTCCTCATTTAACAATTCAACAATTATCTGGAAAAAAAAGATAAACACTAACTAATATGAATAATAATCGGTCCCAATCCTTATAATCTGCCAGTCTCCCTAATAATAATAATAATGATGATGATAATAAAAATAATAATAAATCAATAATTGATGATGGTGATGATATAAATAATAATAATAATAATAAATAATAATAATAATAATAATAATAATAATAATAACAATAATAATAATGATGATAATAACAACAATAACAGTAATATGAACGCACTTTTTTCTCCTTCTTTTCGGGAACAGGCTCGGGGGCTTCGGGTCCGGGGGTTCCTCAGCGGGCAGCTCCCCAGCCTCGCCAATCTCATTTGCTCAAGCTCCTTGCGATGTCATCCTCCAGTCCTGGTTTTTTCTTCTTGCCCTTTTTGCCCTTCTTGCCGCGGTCGGATGCAGGCGGGGCAAACCATCGGGGCATGCCGTCGGCTGCTATGTCCTCCACCTCACCGTTTCTGGTTTCGGAAAGGGAGACTTTATTGAGAACTGAAACTTGTGGCTGCAATGGTAAAAATTATTTGGCTGTTTAAGAACCTGTAAATACTCTTCTTATGAAGTAAATACTATACATCTACTAATACTTAACAAATGTTGTGATACCCCTGGATAAGTGATAAGGAAACAGAGGATATCTTGTGGATTATATTACATAGCTTGGGGAAGTTCAATTACATCTTTTATTTTAAAAAATCTTTTCTTCCTGTCCCTCAAACTTAATCTGATTAGATATTTTTTTACAGTCAGAACAAGAACTAATTAGAAAGGTGTATGTTCTATCAACAATTCTGTAACAAAAGGGAGTGACTGTCATCTCCATAACAAAAGTAGTTACTGCAGATAATCTTTACAAACCAATAGGTATAGGGGGTGGAAAAATAAACATTAATAATAACAGCAAATAAAAAATCAGAAGTGAGGGTTCCTAATGATGACAATTACAAACCCTAAGGTCATCATAATCTAAAGTTTATTAAATGCAACTTGCTCTTTTTACACTAAATCTAGGAACATACTACAAACAACATAATGAACACCACCACCTGAAAAATTCATGTAATATCGGTGAAAGGTAACACCATGGTTTCAAACACACATTCACCAGACAACACATTCCTGATAAATGACATAACTTCAAACTGAAATTAAATAAACTTTGCGATACATGTCATCATCTGATTGCTGTGACTTATATGCCTTCAGTGCTCTGGCAAAGTCCAAACCCATGATAAGATCTAGGAATCATTTTTCATTCGACAAATTCTTCAGGAAGGTCTACGCATTGTCTGTGTAGAGTCGTTATCATAGCACTGACAGGATGCTCCTTACTTTTGATTCTTTTTGATGATTTTATAAATTAAATGTCTTCTTGAAGTTCAATTTGCAATAGCTATTTTACAGAAACAGGTATGCCTTGGACTTCTCTGATCTATCACTTCTGTATAAGGTTTACTTTGAGGCTTTTGAGACAGGCCTATGAGAAATCATCAAAAATAAGACCAATACGATATTAAAAGAAAAGAAATGAAAGGGGAGGGGGGACGGTTATCAAAACTACATGCAACATCATTAGGTATAGAAATCCCTATCTCAAGCTCAATATCAATGTGCAGGGCACTAATGAGCGCATAACACGCATATGTTGTAAAATCTACAAGGTAAACATAAACCCCAAACATAATAAATTCACAGTTCAGTGCATTAAATGATACCTATAACCCTCAAGAAACTTGTACCACAAATATCATAGCAAGATCTAGTTTGTAGACCATCCTGACAATTTGTCATCATATAAGGAACCAGCCAAAGTTCTCTTACCAGAATATACAGAGTGAAGGTTTGTTGACTTTTGACAAAGAGCAATACGGGAATTGCATTATTCGGGGTTCTGAGATATGTCATTGCAGTACGTATACATGCCTTTGGTGCTCTGGCAAAGAATAACAGTCCTCTTTTACATACATTTTGGCAAGATTAATGGCTTTCTATTTACTTTTTAAAATCATTATTATTGGGGG